GGGTCTCTCGGGTTGTCAGGTCCAGACTTAGGTGTAGGGTTAATGATCCCCTGGGCCCAGTTGGAGGGCACATGACCAGTCTCATAACATGTAGAAAACAGTTTATGAAGATAATCTATACAGATGTCATTTGTTAAAACATCAACTGGAATATTATCTGTGATTTCCCTCTCTTAGCTCAAGAGTAAAGTTTTAAGCTACAAACATTAACTTCACACATTCACTGATATCCTAACAGGGAAAGTGTGTAATGGAACACCATGAAAATCAGTAATTTCATGAAATCCCTTGAAATTTTAGGGAGTACATGAAATACCTGGGGCTCACAGTGAATTCACGAAATCACTGAATCTTTCAGGGATTACGTGAAATCCCTGGTTTCACACATTCCCTGTAACATATACATACGAATAAGTATTAGTTAAAGTCGGATACATAAAATAAGATAACATAATCGACGAAACGTGGCATATACCTGACAGGTAAATAGAAGGTGTATAGATTCAAGTATAACACTTTATTGGACAAAATACAGTCTTTTATCCCCAGGTGTATGTAAATATTATACGAAAAAGACCATGAACGGACAAATTTGTCTTCAAGTGATGCTGATTGAACAAGCTACAAAAGATGGAACATATTCATTCTTATATATTGTTTATTTTAATTTTAGCTCAAAGGATAAACATCAACATACCGGGAAGAGTTGAAATAACGGTAGATAGCTTCGTTGTTTCTTCTTTCCCCATCTCGGAAGTGGAATGTTTACACGCGGAATGTACAGGATGAAAATGAGAAGCAGTGCTATCCCTCTGAAACAGGAACCATTGGGCAGCCATTGCTGAAGTGTACCTCCAGGACTTTACTCATGCAGCAACGATGAAACTGACGTTACAGTAGAAACTGCCATGTCATGTGGTCGTTAATGAATGTCTCACTAAGCACTTTTCAAGCTATATGACGGCGGTCGGTGCTACATAACCATCATTCAAGTCATCGAACCTGACCATCAGATCCTGTAACTCGCGTCTTACATCAAACATTGGTTGCTAAAGAGCAATTTTAACCAAGATCGTCACGGGCGCGCAGAACATAATACAGTTATCACTCCGTACACCGGGTATCTCTATACATATAAAAGGCTATTCTGCAATCAAAACTGAAAGTTCCGTGAATTCAGATTTGTTTAATGAATGCGAAAGCAATGTCATTGATAAAAACCTCGGGTTCAGAATCAACCGGAAGTTTATGATGCAGAATATATTAGAACATATATTAGAATATATATATATATATATATATATATATATATATATATATATATATATAAGCCATAGATATACCTCTACTGCATTCTTACAGTCCCGAAAGTATTATTATTAACACACCTCTCGCCTCGAAATTTACCTGGACGTGTTTCAATAACTCATTAGTCGTGCATTCAGAATTTCTCAAAGAGAACTACAGATCTATCAGAAATAAACTCGTGCTCAAAGGAAACTATACACCGCAAGATATTACATAAAAAGTCGCAATTATAATGAAGACTTAGTGGTAAAACCATACTGAGCCATATCACACACGTACATGCCCATCCTTTCCGGGAACAAACGGCGAAACAAGTTAACAACATCGCCATTGCCAGAACCTTTGACGGCACCCTAGGAACTATCATCAGACTGATGCAACGACTAAGACAAGCATGTCAGTCAGGCCGAGGAGTGGTCGATCACGTGACAATGCCCGGTAATGGTCGCCACATCCGGACAATTCATCTAAGAAATCGTTTTGTAACGGCGATGTCAACGACAGCACGGCACTAGGACACCGTATCAGTCGACATACAGTGTACCGGCGACTAAGAGAATTGGGTATTCGAGCACGTCGACCCTACCGCGGAGTGTATCTGACTCTCCAAGACTCTGACTTGGGCCAGGCGAGTTCGACGTTGGCAGATGCGTGATTGGCCACGTGTGATGTTCACCGACGAGAGTAGGTCTTTCCTGTACAGTAATGACGGCCGGCTCGTGTTTACAGACGAGTAGGTGAACGGCGATGCCAAAAGCGAGACTTGTGATTATTCATGGCAACCTGAATGCTCGAAAAACCAGGGATGAAGCTTTGCGACCAGTTGTGTTGCCATTCATCCATTCAACAATCGCGTGGCATTCCATACAGCTAGCATCGTTGTATTGCCGTGCCCAGCGTGTTCTCCCAACATGAATCCGATGGAACACTTATGGGACTACCTGGACGACAAATCAGAAGCCTACCAGCGCCACCTGTCACGGCTTAGCAACAGGAACAATGTCTCTTACAGGAATGGCAACGGATCACACCTAACGTCATTCGTCGCCTTACGTCATCAATGCGTCGACGTGTTTTGGTGTGTATTGAAGCCAGTGGTGGTGATACTTACTATTGATTCAAGATTTGATGACATCTTGCAGGAAAAATCGCCTTGTTGATTTGTGTAAAAAGTCAGATTATGATGTCACATGCCTTTAATTGTTAGTCAAACGGTACTTTCGACTTTGTAAGAAACGAAATTGTGTACATTTGCTGTAGAATTGAATACTCTATTGAAATTACACAGATGTTCATTTATATCTGCTTTTGTTTCCTTTTGGCCAAACACATTGTGTACTTTCTTTTGAGCACTAGTTAAGATATTGAGTCGTTAAAAATTTTTTAGGTTATATGCAATTTTCATACAAACCCGAAAGATATTTCCCACGAAGGTCTGGACTGGGCTATTGGAACCTTATATAGAGAGATCCCAATGAGGGCAATGGTAGGAGCTACTGTGATTGGCCCGATGTAGCGGAGAAGGACTCCAACTAACCCAGTAGACCCTATTAGAATTTCCAGTATTGAGGCAGCCATCAAGCTCCCAGATAGCTGCAAAACATCACAAGGTCATTCAGATGAGATATATTTGTCCAACGCCAAGTCAGTTGCCAGGTTTCTGCAAAGTTTTGGCTTGGCTTGTATGACTAATGACACTTTATTGTTCATGGAAATCTCGCAAACTCCACAGAGGTCACATGTGGTAAAACCACATTAAAAAGAATGGGCCTTTTAACCAGTCATGGATTTTCAGATGAGTGGACTTCATCGTCAAACTGACGGCCATGGGTGCCGGCTATTGGCAATTTACTCATGTTTGGAATTCGCTACCTAAACCTTATTTTTCTCCATTCTGAACTTATCGTTTACTTTCGGTTTCCTGAAACAGAATGTCAGACATGCTGCTCTGAACAAGTGTGAGTGTGTTTAGTTTTACGCCACTTTTAACAGTATTCCAGCAATATCACGGCGGGGGACACCAGAAATGGGTTTCACACACTTTACCCCTGTGGGGAAACCCGGGTCTTCGGTGTGACGAGCGAACGCTTTAACCACGGCTACATGATAGCTTTAGTACTTGTGTAGTTAGTATTTGAGTACCTTGTTTACAACATGCTAATATCGTATTGTCCTCCGTTGCATTTAATTACATATAAACGTGTTCTCGTCAATGTATGGAAATACCGGAGATCTTACGTTAAACGTTAAACTCACTCACTCATATACAGCTAGAATATTGGTGGTTGTGGCATGAAACAACAAACACACGTTTCAATTGCTTCTCTTCTCATTAGATGCAGAATGTATCGGTTTTATTTTCTCCCCCGAAAGTAACATATTTATACAGATTCAATGTACCTGTTTCAGTTTCTCTCCTTCTGTTAACAAAGTCATGCCTGACGTTGCCGAACCATTGAGACTGGCTGCTGTTTTGGGCATACTTGTCAAATTGCCTTAAACACGACGAAAATATCAACAAGCATCAACCAGAAATAACATTTATATACGAATATGTGTAGCTTTTTATGTCTTCTGCAACATAAATGTGAAAATGATTTTACTCAAGTATACTCGTGAAGTTGGAAGTTAAAAGTAATAAAGAACTTGTTGTCAATAAGAAGTGTAACATGTTGTAATTTTCCCAAATGCATTGCGACACATACTTTGAATATTTTACTCTAGGCAAATCTTCATCGTGTAACTTATAACCGTACATCTCATTATTTGGATATGCCCATACAATAAACGAAACATAATGGAATCCTTTCCAAACAAACTAGCTTAACGATACGCGACTACGTGGACATCAAGTCAACTAATACAAAGTGGTTATTATGACTTGAAACAAGCGATTGACAAATCAGAATCAAATATTTCCTACAGTCATGCACCACGGTTCTGGCACATAATCAAGAAACACAACGGACCCGTAAAGATCCGGGTTAGAACTGGTCTTCAGGAAACCCATGCTTGTCGTAAGAGGCGACTAACAGGATTGGGTGGTCATATATCTGGAAAATTGCTGAGTACGGCGTTAAACGACAAACCAACTAAACAAAGAAATCTATATAATCAGTTTAAAAATAATGTCTTTGAGTATCTTAACACAATCATTCCCTTACCATCAGGACATTTCCATTCAGGATTGTTCTTCATGGCGAGAAGTGCAGGATAGAAGGAGACTGATGGACCTTGAAATATCGGCAACCTGGAAGTTAAGTAACGTTGTTCACGGAAAGTCCTTGGACGGTTGACCGTATTTGGGAGCATGACACCTGAGAGTATCTCAGACTTAAGTCCTGCCCCACAACAAATCACAAGTGACAAATGTGGTTTCGCCTTAGTTTGTTTAAATTACGTGTCTTCATCCAGCAGTGAATGGGTACCCGGTGTGATAAAATGGTCATATGACTGTTAATCCTCTACCGCTTGGGTTAACCTAGCTAAAAATGTTTGCGCTTTGTGCATAATTTGTCCATAACGCCACTGGGCATCTTTGAAGAGGATTTCAGGCGCTCTACAATTGTATTATATTCAAATGTACCTGTTCGTTAGAAATGTAAATAGTAGGGTTTGTCTTCCCTTCCTCCCTGTTAACACTTTCAACCACACCCTCAGTGACGTACGTCTTTTTATCTTAAACCTCTCACCTTATTCCGACAGCGGTTTGAAGTAGCGATGTTACGCCACTCATGAGAAGTGTTGAGGAAAGTATCTTCGATCTGATTGGGCTGTCATAAGCTGCGCACAAAGTGTCTGAGACGATGAAGGCAGTAGCAGCCTCGAAGGCAAGATTCATCATGATGTGCTGCAAGGAGAAGTAAGTGACAACATCAAAGTGTCACTTTATATTGTTTTTTTTGTCCGCACTTACATCACGGCGCTCTGTCATTCTATCGTATTTTGTAATGATTGATCATGGAAGCAGGGTACGCTCACCTTTATGGAAAGGCCTGGTATAGTTACTGCTGTATTGTTATTCCTGAACACACTCTCTTGATACAGTCGTAATCATACAGTGGATTCTGCTCGTAGCAGAGATCTTATATGATTATGGAAAGGGCTGTGTCGCTTTCATTAATAAGCTTAATGTACTGGCCCAAAACAGATTCATGCTCTCAAAAATATTTTCATTGTATTTTCTATAACATTGATCAGCCGTTGTGTCAATATTTATATAATTTCGTTCAGCCTACACGAATTTTAAGATTTATATTATTTATTTCAGCCACTGATAATATTATTAACCAGACCACATACCTGGAAGGCAGCACTCAACATTACCCATGTATTGTTTTGTTGGTTTTTTTAGTGAGCACTTAAATGGCGCTCTGTAAATAATCCCGTCTGCATCAGACAAAACAGTCGTCTATATTATATTGTGAACAACGTAGCTCGTTGTCGTGCAGGATAACCACAATCAACAACGTTACAGAGTCAGACCAGCGAAAGTCATTCTATCGTATTTTGTAATGATTGATCATGGAAGCAGGGTACGCTCACCTTTATGGAAAGGCCTGGTATAGTTACTGCTGTATTGTTATTCTTGAACACACTCTCTTGATACAGTCGTAATCATACAGTGGATTCTGCTTGTAGCAGAGATCTTATATGTTTTGGGCCAGTACACTAAGATTATTAAGCGTATATGATTATAAGCTTAATAAGCTTAATGTACTGGCCCAAAACAGATTCATGCTTTTAAATATATTTTCATTGTATTACATATTGATTGATCAGCCGTTGTGTCAATATTTATATAATTTATTTCGGCCTACACGAATTTTACGTTTATGTTTTTTGGGGGGGGTTATGGGTTTTTTATGTTTGTTTTTTTCAGTGACTGATAATGAGTGTTACCAGAAAACATACCTGCAAGCCAGCACTCAACATTATCACAAACGGCGGGTTTTGAGTCAGGGTATAGTGCAGTGGTTCATCCTCCTTCTCAGGCAGCTTCTCTTCCTCTCTGCCAACACCCAGCTCCTGGCCATTTCTCACTCGTTCCTTGCCAGTCATGATGATCGTCTGACATCAACAGACTTCTGAAACTGCGTGTATATGTCATGTGTTTTTTTTGTGAATCATAAATTATGTTGTCTGACACATTGGTAACAGGTGGAATACTGCCAGATATAACGGTAAACGTTAAACAATACACTATCAATCCTGTTATTAAAGTGACTTTATGGCAAAGTTATCTGTTTACTGACATCCAATGCGATGACTGTCTCACATTACTGCTAAATGACTGAAAAATCATTTGTATACGACGGTGGCACACGTTTTTTCTAAATGCCCTACCGGACGGTACATGCAACAGATGGTAATAAATGGCATGACAGTGTGTATCTAGGTTTCGTTCATTACAGATATCAGGCCAGAATGTGTTTAATACAGGCATCATATTGGCTGTGGACGTGTACCTACTTAAATTTGAGCAGGCCATGAGTCATACGGAGTCATAAGGAAGAGAGTTTTTATCGATGTCAACTTCTTTATTATGAGGAACGCTTCTTTATTATGAGGAACACTTCTTTATTATGAGGAACAGTTCTTTATTATGAGGAACACTTTTTTGTTACGTAATCCGCATAATGTGTTCATCGTAATAAAGAAGTTGACATCCATAAAACTCTCTTCCTTTTGTGTATCACTTCAAATGTCACTCACAGACCACCTAACCAAGAGTCCTAACTACCATGTACATAAACAACAGTAAGTTATGTTGCCCAAAATAATCAGCCCTATCTACGATCAAGTAAATAACCTATTCTCTGTAAATCATATAATTACCAACTTTGAAATGGCAATTGTGCCCTCAGTAACAAGTAAATAGCCAACTCCCTCTAAACTTAGAACTAATAACCATTTCTTTCTAATGTAAATGTGGGGCGGTGGGGTAGCCTAGTGGTTAAAGCGTTCGCTCGTCAAGCCGAATACCCGGGTTCGATTCCCCACATGGGCACAATGCGTTAAGCCCATTTCTGGTGTCCCCCGCCGTGATATTGCTGGAATATTGCTTAAAGCGGCGTAAAACTAAACTCAGTCAGTCAGTAAGTCTAATGTAAATGTATGCAACCAAATCACTGTTATGATAATACAAGTAACAATCCTTCCACATATTAATTACATTATAACTCTCCCTGGTGATTTCGAATTAAACAGACCGTGTGGACCCAAGGGTGGAATGGGCCCGGTTCTCTCAATCGGCTGCTTATGTCATGCTCTGTGCATGAAACATTCATATTGAAATTTGAAATAATATAAGATATATTTGCCTAGAGTCCTATGCCTGAAGGCGTTGGCTCATGGGCCAATCACGTGTTGTTTACCTCCAGATAATGTATGTCTCCAATTTCCTGTCATGGGTCGAACCAGTCTGGCATCAAATTGGTAGATAAAAGTAGCTGTTTGTTGAGTATACCACCCCTGAATCCCTGGTGTCAGCATCTTGGATATCCGGTGCTATTTGACACTGTCCTTGTTGACATTCCGTGGTAGATGGGGAGCAGCTGTGATAAATCTCTTTTCCTTCACCATGACGCAACAATCTACGATACGTTTGCATGAAACCGATAAATCTACAAGAAATATCTCACCAAATGCTGATTCATGGGCTAGATTCCTTGTTATTGAGGGTACAAATAATTTGCCTATGAAACTGAATCCCTTTGTAATTTCCAAAGCTATATCTGGAATTTGTAGGGAAGTATCAAATGTTACCTGTCTTCGTAGTGGCTCGCTTCTTGTCGAGTGTTCACGGAGACAGCAATCTCTAAATCTTTTGTCAATTAAACTTTTTGCAAATATTGAAGTTGCTGTGTCTGTGCACAGAACGTTAAATTTCTGTCGTGACATCGTTCGAGATAGGGCTCGTTGTTTGACAGACATGTCTGAAGGGGACATTGCTACAGAATTATAGGAACAGGCTGTTACAGCAGTAAAACATTTTACCTCCAAGGGAGATGGTGTCATAACTAAAACGAACACCTATGTCTTGACGTTTGCCCGTTCAAGAATTCCACAATCAATTAAAACCGGCTATTTCAATATCGGAGTGGGGGTGTACGTCCCCAATCCACACCGATGTTACAAATATCAGAAGTTCGGCCACCGCTCACAACCTTGCCGCAACTCTGTGGCGTGTCACCGTTGTGGACATAAATGTGCAAACTGCGATGGTGCACAAACAGCTTCATCCAGGTCCTGTCCTGTATGGCAAGAAGAATCTAAAATCATGAAGATCAAGTGTGAAAAAACACATTTTATACTTTGATGTTAAATAACTGTTACAAAATCTGACCTCAGCCCCATTGAATATGACATATACTGCTGCAGCCACTCGTTCTGTAGCAACGTCCTCTATTGCTTGTCAGAATGACTTGACTTGGGTCATGTCAGAAACCTGTTTCAGCTTCTCCACGAAAGCCCCCAGTCACTCAACCTACGTCCCTAGTCACACAGTCTACTTATGCTTCTCAGGCTGCGAATCAGCCTCAGAACAGCCAGCCTCAGTCAGTTCGTCAAAAACAAAAGGAAAAAATAAAATAGAAAGCAGACATCTACCGTACATTTACCTTCAAAGGTAAATCCTTGAGGAGAATAACCTCTGTATATTTAGCGACGATGCAACTACTTCAACTACTGAACTATATTCTGCCCTCGATTTGGCTCTCACCGATTCGCTGATATAATGAATTTGAATGGATGGAGGGTCCATGATGAGCTATGTGGGAGTGATCACTTCCCCACCACTCTCAAAACAATCAACGCTGGTGATGATCCACCTTTATCAAGAAGGAACTTTACCAAGGCCGATTGGTCATTGCATGAGACTCTGTGTGTTGAACATTTAAATCATTATCCTTTTAGGAACAGTGAAGATCCTATTCAGTCTTTTTCCGATATCCTTAATGAGATTGTTTCCAAGATAAATTCCCACATCCCGATTTCAAAGGGGTGGAACATGGTACAAAGGATAAAGGGCAAAGGTTCAAAATCTGTTCACCATCTCAAAGACGATGACAATTTATTAACTGATAAAGCTAACATTGCGAATAAACTTGGTGACACTCTCGCCAAGCATTCTTCTTCGTGAAATTATGTCCCCGGGTTTAAACAATATGAGAAACAACAGAAGAAAAAAAGAATATATTTTAAAGCGGAAAATGGAGGAGATTATAACCAATTATTTTCGTTACATGAACTCCATGCTGCCCTTGAGCATGTCCATGATACCGCAACACGGTATCCGCTTTTGAAACATTTGCCTAATTCATGTCTCGAAATCCTTTTGGAAATATTTGATCAAGTATGGACTTCAGGGAATTTCCCCCTGAAAAAAACAACAACACCTGAACATTTAGTTACAAACATTTCCCAGTACAGCAGATTTGCACATGATAAGATAAATCGTTTGATACAATAAATATATCTTTGTTATCTATATTGTTGGATCGGCATTGTTCGTTATAAACAAACGAAGTTGCCATCCATAAAGTTGTATGCTCCATTATTTACTCACCAACGATGCCGACCTATGCAATAAATAAGAAGATGCCACCCACAGGCCTTAATTGAGTCATGGCCACGAACAGAGATCAAGGGGATTACGTATTATCGGCTGTCGAAGAGTTAATCAAGCTACACATTCTGTCAATCAACTGATCAATGAGCATCCAAATCAGCATGTTTACATTTTAATCCTTTCTGGGCCCGGTTGATCAATACTCGGTTATCTTAAGCGCCGGTTAACTCCTAACGGCCGGTTAAATCCTTAACCGGCCGTTAGGTAACCAAACGTTAAATATGCGTTGTTCAAAACATGGTTAGTCATGCCGTTAGCTAACGTCGCCGTCAAAGTTTAACAGTGTGGTTAACGTCACTGGTTAGCTTCCATATATCCCATAGTTCCGTTTTCTGTTTACTTCCGGTTTACCAAAAGTGGAAACGCAAAATGTTGCCTGCACCCCAAGGAAAAAGAGAAGTCGAAATTTCTCTGCTGACGAAGAGAATGTAATCCAGTCAATAGTTGAGGCCAACTCTATAGTTTATCATAGGCATGCGCTACGAACGTTTTGTATTGGAACACAAGGTTCCAGCCGTTTGCATAATTTATATTTCAAAGACATATGATCCCAGCTCTGTGTGGGACTTACTTCAGTTCCAGCAACAGAAAAGACATTTTAATGAAAAACTTTAGCACAGCTATAGATAAAATATGATGAATCCATGAAAATAATATTAATATTAGAAGCATGTTGTCCGTGGATAGAAAATGTATAAATATTACACACAGAGTTACGCTTAGACGGCTACAGTCTTAATGAATCTTTGAATTCCCACAAGACCTATCGCTCACTTTTCACTCCTTAAATTGTCATGACTGTATGGCCAAGTCGTGAAGATGCTATCAATATCATTTATTAATTATTGGCCAAGTCTGTCAAACATTGTAATGTATGAACACACATTGCCAAATCTTTTAACATCAAACAATATAGATGTGAAATTAATACCATTAGCTTTTATCTGAAATATGCATTCAATGCCAATAGAAACTTAATATGTTACTAGCACCACGTGCAAGTAATGAAACTGTAATTGTACTATAGGCCCCAGGGCCAACACTGCTGAATAAAATCGATCTATTATCCGACCTTACTGTTGACAGGAATCTCATGAATAATACTGGGCAATATCGTCATTATCTGGACACCTTCACAGACGCATATTCCGGAAAGATGTCTTGAAAAACTTGAACCTGCATCTAATTTATAGATGAACATAATTTCCTCGATATTCATTAATCAGATGAACCTTCATTTAGTTCAATTCACAAGTGACTGCAGACAATGCATAATTCTTTTTAATGACTTCACTGTCGGAAAACATATATTATATTTCATAAGTGTATTATAGAACGCTGTAGTAGATGAACTTAATTTCCTCGATACTCATTAATCAGGTGAACCTCCATTTAATGCATAGATAGTTCTTTTCAATGTCTTCAAGGACGGAAAACATGTATTAAATTTCATTATTGTATTATAGAACGCTGCAACGATTCG